GGCGGCGGTCGTTGGAACTCCGCACGACGTGAAGGGCACTGCAATTTTCTGCTTCGTCATTTTGAAGGTATTTATTTGCCATCTGAACAGAAGCAAAGGCTCCATCTAAATGATGTGAACATGCATTAATGGCTGGTCCGTGCTTTTCTCGTTAATGCCGGCTGTCTGCATGCCTAACGGCCCGGCTTTGAACACGTTTCATTTTTTCTCAAATTAGGCTGGTACTTCGCCTGCTGGAATTATTGAAGAGGCGAAGATGCAAGTGAGGAAAGAGATCGGCCCTATCGCGACGCCAGACTTTATAGTGGTGGCCCCAGGTACAATATGAGCACACCGCGCCAAGCTCCGGGCGTTTGCGGCCGCACATTAATTTTGTTTTACGCTGTTTCATGTTGAATTTACATAAATAGAAACAAATATAATGCAATAGGAAAGAGTCTAGTTTCTGCTGAGGAAGCAACAGCTCCACGTCTTGTGCTGCTGGTCCGTCTCAGGTCTTCCCAAAACTCAAAGCGGCAAAATAATGCGGCGGCTGCTGCGGAAGCTCTGCTGCCTGGACACCAACTTGGGGGACACAACGTCTTTATCGAATGCAGACATCGTTCAGACCCTTCGCGGGATTGTGATGGAGACTGTGATTAGTGAAAGGAAGCAGCAGCATGCAGTGACCCAAGGGACTTCTGGGGCTGGAAACATAGCAGCAGTAGCAGAAGGCAAGGCCCATTGACCCCAACAATGCGGAGGAGCTTTTGGGCCTAGGCCTCCCCACTGTCGCGTGTTTTATGGTGCAGGGTGCCACTGGCCCGCCACGAGCAGGCCAGCGTGACCAGTGGTCAGCGAACACCGGGACTGTTCGTGAGGCAGTGCGGCGGAACTATGCTGCGTTAGTAAAATGCCACTTTTTGTAGAGTTTCCTGGGGGCGTTTGTGGCCGCGTTGTGGATGCGCCGCTGGTCTTTTTATCCACAGTGAACACGAAAGCAAGCAAGAATATCGTGTTGCAGCAGCGGCAGCCTTGCTGGCTGCTTCGTTGTGCGCGCCCACTGGAAAACGCGTGTAAAAGCCCCTTGTGAAGCAAAAAGATGCAAGCATATGTGTCTTTGGCCAGCGGCCAGCGGAAAATTATTTGAACTAACTTTCGCGGCGTCAAAGGGGTTCAGCCGCCCCACAGATGAGCAGCTTTACTCTCTGTTCTCTTCCTGGCCTTGGGGACTCCGGGCTTTCTACTGTGGCACTATTTGTCTCTCTATCTGTTCGGGCTGCCTTCCACCTCTGGCTGCGTTTGTTTCTGTAGTTGTCTGCCGCCGATTGCTTCTGCACTAATTGCCTGTCGCGCCCACGCAGGGGTGCGCGGCGGCACTTCCCCACTGCCTCGCTGGTAACAACAGAGTGGCTCTTGTGTCGCTTCCGTTTCTTTTTCGTGGTTGGCCACCCCCTCAGCTGTCCGTACACCGCAGAGCGCAGCGGCTGCAGCGACGTGGCAGTGCACTCCCACCTATTGCTCTGAGCGCGTACGCAGATGCATTTTTTAAGAACGGAAATAGTGCTGAATTCTTCTGTCGTCAGGCTCGCCGGTGCCAGCTGCAGTTGTAGTTGAGCTGTACGTACACCCCAAGGCAGCCGCTTCCTGAATAGAAAGAGCCAGTTAGCTCACTTTTCCTTTACGTCTTGGATGAACATTAATTATTCATTAATTATTCACAGTCAACGGCACTTGGGCGAGACTGTCACTTCAGATATCTCACAGGCACCCCGTCCGCAACTGATTCGAGGTCAACTGCTCGGGGACAGTGAGACATGGATTTTCCAAAATGAAACAAATTTAAAATTATTTTTTGAATGAGAGATCCCTGAGGCCTCTTTCCGCCTGGCCTAGCACCAGCAGCGCGCCGTGCTTTCGAGCATGTGTAAGAAGAAAAAAGATGAAAAAAGAAGTCCTCAGTTACATTTTCGAGCTAAAGAGAGCCGTGTCTTGTTGACACTGTGCTCTGGGAGCCCTCCGAAGTTCGAAGGACTCAGAAAGGATTCAAAAGCACTTCGCTGCAGAGAGCCGGAGGCCGCGAGCATAACTTAAATGTCGCGGACATGTGAAAGCACCTGAAAACGAAACAACAAAAAATTGGCGACTTGCTGCTCCCCGCAGTTTTCGAAACTGAAGTGTACGTACAGCTGCGCTGACGCACATCGACGCACTGCACAACGGGGAACAAACATACCATAGCACATATTTCTTTGGTGGTTTTTGGAGGAGGCTGCCGCCTCCCTTTGGTCTGAGTCCTTTTTTTTTTTTCACTCTTGGGCTTGGTCTTTTCCTTTGGCTTGCCTGAGTTGGAGTTTGCGGGCTCTGCTGTGGGCAGCTTTTTTCTATAGTTGCCTTGCGCCCTTCGCAAGGTGTCCTTGTCCAGCGAGAGTTTGCGCAAGCGGGACTTGAGGTCTCTTTTGGGTTGAAACTGCTCATAGAATTTCTCTTCCATGTACTCTTTCACTCTGTCCCGCTTTTGGCCGCCCACGAGGGGCCCGCAGCGGCTCTTCCCAGTTGCGGATTTCGATTTTTTCAAAGTCTGCAGAGGCGCAGTGCTGCCCGTAGGGGCCACCGTGATCTTCATCTTGAACTGCGGTGAACTCGCCGTTTGAATTAAAACTGAAGAACCACTTTTATGCCATAGTGAATGCAAGGCAACTTCCGGTGTATGTACACTCTGGTGCCGCGAAGGGCGTAGCGATCGAGTGAAGAAACCTTCGTCCTTCAATTAAAGACCCGAGTAGAAGATCTAATGCGACTTATCCGTTTGCTTGAAGCCGCATTGAATTTCGCTTAACTTGAACTTAAAAGTATGTAGCTTTGGGGTTCCTCTAGTACAGGTTCCCTTTTCTTGCAAATTGAATTCGCCGCATGCAAGTTAGGGCTGGTAGTCCTTGATGGACCGGGGCCCCACAAATGAGATCTTTGTGCAGATCCACCGAAGCAAAAAAGCTAATAAACTTTGATTTTAACATCAATTGGAACTATCTGAGCCAGAAAGCTGCTGCTTTCTCCTATACCCCCTCCCCAGTTGCTGCCAGTGACTCAGAGAGATACAGCTAACCACTGGCCGGCGAAGCTGGAAGGCACAAATCGCCTTCAGGAGCGCCATGAAAGGCGTGAGGGCCGAAGCTGCAGGCGGCGCCGACCCCCGGAAGTGGGCGAGGGAAGGCGTCGAGCGCCACGGTGAGCGACAGCCTAGCCTTCAGCAGCAGCAGAAGCTGCACCCCCGCAGCAACACAGCTGCTGCTGCAGCCGCTGCAGCAGCTGCTGCAGCTGCTGCAGCTGCTGCCGCTGCTGGTTGACTGCCTTCTCGCTTCTTAACTGCTGCTGCTGCTGCTGGATGGGCAGCTGCTCGTTCCGCAGCTGCTGCCGCTGCCTGCCTGCCTCCCCGTCTCGCAGCAGCAGCAGCTGCTGCTGCGGCCGCGTTCCACAGCAGCAGCAGCAGCGAAGGCGTGCGTTGGTGTGCAGCTGCTGCTGCGCGCAGGCCCCGTGACTTCGGAGCCGCCGACGTACCCGAGAAACAGGGAAGTGCCGCGGGCGGCGGAGCTGGACGAGGCGGGGGCCAGCGCAGTGCTGACTGCGCGGCTGCTGGCCAACCACTGGCGGACTGGGGAGTGCAGCATAGGGGAGCGCCGCAGCAAGCTGGAGGGCCGGAACTACAGCACTGGGAGCTGCGCCTGCAGCTGCGACTACGAGGCCCAGAAAGAGGCCATTGTCTCTTACTGCGGCGAGGCCTTCTTCCCCGCGGAGCTGCTGCACAGCAGGTTCGTGCGCGTCCCGAGGGGGGCCCCCAGGGGCCTCCCCGGAGACTCCAAGCGCCTCCGCCTCAAGGAAATGGAGCAAAAGGAAAACGAGAACAAAGCTGCAGACGACAAGGCCAACGCAAGCGCGAAGGCCGCCGCAGAGGGTGAGTGCTGCTGCTGCTTCCTGCCGCCTGCTTCCCGCTGCTGCTTCCTCCCCTCCCGCTTCTGGCTGCTGCTAGGCGCAAGGCCAGGAACTTGCTCTTTGCAGACAGAACCCGAAGGGCCTGCGGCCTCTACGTGGCGCTGGAGGGGCACACTGCTGCAGCGGGTCACACGGTTGCCCCTAGCGGCTAGCTACCTAGCTGGCTAGCTAGCTAGGTGGCTGGCTGGCTAGCTTGGTAGCTAGATTGTTGCGTGCTTGTGTTGTGTTTGCGCTGTTGGCTCAGAGGAACTGTTTGCTGCTGAAGAGGACGACTTCGGGGGCGATGACTACGCGCACGACTACTACGCTGATGAAGACCTCGACGATCATTTAGATGACGGGGACGACGGCGGGATCCTCTAGGAAACTTCATTCGACCTCTTTGTCTATTGATTAATGCAAGTTCATGTCGCTGTGAATATTCTCCAGCTTTTTAGTTAAGTTAGTTTTTGCCTGCGTATGCCCGGTCATCCCAGACACGTGAATGCTACGGGTCTGCGGCTTTTCTTTCCTCGTCAAACAAACATATAAGTTTCCAAATTTAAACTCAGCAGTTCATAAACTTGAAATGATGCACAGTTGTCGTCACTGACATGACGCTGATCTTTGCTGAACTTCAAACCGACCGCCAGCTGTGTCCACGGAGGAATAGCATGTGTGCCTAGCTCTTAGAAAGTGAAACAGGGAAAAAGGAAGCGGTGCATTCATTTAGTCTCAAAGCTCTGCAATCTTGTTAGGTCAGCTTCTGTGACATCGCTGAATGGATATGCTTTCGTTCCCAAGCAGTTTCGTCGTACGTACAGTGCGGGAGGCTCATGGTATCAGAAAGGAGAGCCACTCGAGGGGAATTGATGGAGCCCTTCTGGAGGGAAACGCGTCGAATAATCGCATTAAGCTCGTGTTCGTGCTTTCGGCTGCTTTCTTCACTATGAAGGCGACTGCGCTGCTGTCACTTGCAGTCGCCGTGGCTGCATCCTTAGCGTGCTTCGGTCGCAGCCAAGAAACTTCGGCAGATTTTTACGTCTTCAACGATGCCTCTGCAACTTCTACGTTTGGAAACGGCTTTGAAGCTTCCCGGGCGCTTCAGCCGGGGACCGGCTACTGGTCTAGCGCTGGAGATCACGCAACTGACGAACAAGGTAGACGCTCGCAAACATGAAATATCTGCATCTCTCACGGCTTTCTTCCCCTCAGTCGCATGGAGTGGTACCCTCGAGGTCCCTGGAAAGCTCAAAGGCGTCCGGATCCGCTGGGAATATGCGCCTCAGGTTTGCACTGAATTCTTATTTGTGTGTGCCGGGCTAGCCCGTGACTCTCTGCTGCGCTCGCGATGCAGGAAGTGCAAATATCAACGTCTGCTGACGGCCAGAACTTCTTCGTCGCAGTGCCTTGGAGGCCGACTGCAGGCACTGGCGGTAACCTTTGGCGAATAATAATTGTTTCGGACTAATTAGATGAGGCGTTTGCAGCTTCTTTTGACGAAGTAATCTCCTTCAGCGCTCCCCAGGAGTGCCGCGTGGTCGTGGTCACTATGCGGAAGGCTGTGAATCAGTTTTTTGGAATAAATCAAATAACTCCAATTGGCGCGGGGCAGCCGCTGTTCTTGATTGTCGCGGGGGTGACAAGTCCCTCCGGGGAAATGTGTCTGGAGGCAAGCCTCTTTCTTCTTTGTCTCATTTCCCCAAGTCCAGTCTTGTGGAGTTCGCCGCAGGTTGAAGGGGGGAAAATGAACAAAGAGGGCTCGCGGGTAGTCCTGAGTCCGTGTGAAGACGCGATAGCCCTGGGGGACGGCCGGGTGGGTTTTTGAAATGATCCTCTCTTCTTTTTCTTTTCATTTTCCCTCTCTCTGACCTCCCCGCAGGAGCTGTGGCTAACAAATCCGCAGGGGCAAATTGTGAGTGCCCGCAGCCACCCGCCGCAGTGCCTGGTGCTGCAGGGCGGCGACCCAACAGGCAAGTGGCGCTGCGGAGAAGCAGATTTGAACTTGTTGCGAATTTCCAGTTGGACTTCAGACGGAGGAACTGTCTCCCTTTCCAAGTGCTCGCGAGCCCTCGAGGAAGGCGACGGCCGCTCCTCCTGGGCCTTCCAGGCCAACTCCCAGCTGCGCCTCGCCAAGGGGGGGTCTTGGTGCATGACTCAGAAGAATGTGAATGGCTCCACTGCGGGGCTTGCAGACCTCATTGCTGGCTCTGCGGCCACGGCGGAGGCCTCCAGCAGCGCCGACGAGGCCCACGGGCCCCAGAAAGCTGTCGACAGAGACACGAACACCTCCTGGGCGTCTGAGCTTTTCGAGGAAAGCGACGAGTTCCCAGTCACTCTAGACATCGACATAGGTCGGTCCTCTTTCGTTTGCTTGCGGAGAAGACTTACAAACTTGCGGTCTTCAATTTTTTTCAGGAAAAGTTGTACGGCTCGCCGCGGCGCGAATTGAATGGGAACAGCCGGCCCTCGCCTACAGCATTCAAGCCAGCGTCGACGGCGCTGCCTACATGTGAGCTCCTCTACAATTCCAAAGTTTGTACTACTGAGATTTAAATGCGCAATTTCGGGGCCAGCGACGTTGTTCACAACGAGGCGAATCCCGCGGTGTCCACCAAGGACCTCTTGGACGGCGTGGCCGCGCAATATGTTCGGATTAAGATGCAGCGGCCCCACCCTCGGCTGGGGAAGTACGAGGAAAAGTTCAGATATGCAATCAAAGAAATTAATATATTTGCTGGCAAACTTGAGCCCGCGGTTGGGGACTGCCGCGAGGCCGCCAGCTCCGACGATGCGCGAGACAAATATTTCATATATTATGTTTCTGGGTTCGATGAGGACTTTGCACGAAAAACGGCGACACTGGGAGTAGATGTGATTGCAAAGAGGAAAAGCCTTGAAGAACTCTCCGGAAAACTCGAAGAACTCTTCACAGAAATGGACGACTGCCGAGAGGAGAAAATTCAGCAGAGGCAGCGCATCAACGCCTTAAGGGCAACGGCTGGCCGTTTAATGGCCAGCTTCCAGCTAGTTGCAGGGAGGGCAAAAGCATATTCCATTATGCAACTAATGCCAGGTGGGCAGTGCCACCACAAGGGATCTTTTTCCTCGTCTCGCCACTCACTTTGCCGCAATTTCTGCAGGCGACTCAGCAGAACACCCAGCAATGGACTGTTACTGGGCGAAGTCGAAGATCCCTGAAGCCGTCTCAGGCTTCTACTGGTAGGCCACTTGACGCATGCAGATTCAATTTTGAAGGCAATAAGCCCTGATGGCATCCTTCTGCCACCCCCAGGGTGCTCCCCAGATGCGCCAGCAAAGCCTTGAGGGCCTACTGCGACATGGAAAGCGGCACAATGATTTATGTAATGACAAAACAAGAAATTCCGAGGGTTCAGGGACGCCCAGCGGGTCTCCTGGCGAGCGCCAGCGACATCCGCCAGGCCTGCGGCTCCGTAGGCCTGCAGCCATTTGTGCCCCGCGCGGTTTCGCAAATTTACAGTGCGATGAAGGCTGCGAAGCAGATGGGTAAGTAATGAGCTGGAGTGAACAAAAGAACTGGATTAGAGAAAAGCCAAATTCATTTCATCTTCGACTTTTGTCTTAGGTTTGCAGCTGAACAATGAAGAGGGAATCCCCATCGCCTTCGATCAAGGCTGCAGCTACGCCGCCTGCTCAGGCACTTTCCGGGACTTGTACGATGGCACAACGGACTTGACGGGATTGGTGCTCGCGCTTGCCTCCGCAGACAGCAGCGTGACAGCTTCTTCAGACACAGCAGGTTCATTCTCATTTCGCTTTTTTGGCTTTCCCTGCTGATTCAACTTTTCCCTACTTGTCACTGGCTTTCCAGGTCTGGGCAAGGCCAGCAACGAGAGGCTGAGCTACTTTGCCTTGGCGACTACGCCGTTGGCCGCTGTCTTGTGTTCAACAAATGCCACAGGGGAGGCCGAACAAGCGTGAGATGAATTTGTCTTAGTTTCCTACGGCGAGCACAACTCCTTCTAGACCTGCGCTGGCTCTGTCGTGCGAGGACGTGATGGAGGGGCACGAGGCCTTTAAAGGAACTATAAGCGTAAGCCTAAAGTCTCGCTCAAGACGTCTTCATGCATATTCGCTTATTTTCAAAACGCGACAGACAAACATCCTGGTGGAGTGCCCACCAGGCTGTGCGGAGGCTGCAGCAGCAACTGTTTTTGGGTCTGACGGCATTTACGCCGAAAGCAGCGCCATTTGCAAGGCTGGAATTCACGCGGGGCTCATCAAGAGCGGGGGAGTATTCAGTGTCTCAATTGAGTCACCCATTTATTCTTTTGAGGGCTCCAAACAAAACGGAGTGGAGTCGAAATCACTGCAGCTTCCCCCTGGCGACGCCATAAGAAGCATGCGGGTATTCAAGATCGAAGAGGTTCGCACCTGCCTATTTTCGTCTTTACAAAAAAACTTCATTCAAAATGGGCAAACAGGAATGTCCAGGGGAGGCAACAGAACACTCAGCCGCCTCCACCCCTCCGCAGCTTCCGTTGACGTCTTTTGTTGAACTTGAAAGCCGCACTACAGCGGCACCCACAACAGCCTCTGCGGCTGCGCCGCCGGCCTATGACCCGGCCCTAGCTGTAGCTTTCGAAGCAGCTAAAGACCGAATCTGTAAGTGGCATTCCAGTTGCGTTTGGGGCCTTTATAGGCACTACACAGCATTTTGGTTTCAGTGGCAACACACGGCATTGATCCCGTGGCCGTGAAAGACGCCAAAACAGACGCCGGAGTTACTGTAGGGGAAGTGCGCAAGCGAGTGAAGCCTGCAGAGCAGTTAAGCGAAAGCACGTACTCGGAGGCAGTTCAACTGTGAGTCAAAGAGTCTCTCAAACCCTCCACAAGAGCCCATTCCAGAATTTCTGTTTTAGGTTTAGAGACGTTGAAACGTTAACTTACCGGCTGCTGGCGGCCTCGGCTGGGGCGGCGACGCGGCTGGAGTACCTGCAGGAGGAGCTGAAACACCTGGAAGAGAAGCACATCGCGCTTCAGGGGTTTCAGAGTTACCAACTGAAGCCGCAGGACACTTCCTTTGAAAAAGAATTTGTAGTCGAGGACAGTTCCTTCACCAGGGGCGGCCCCAGTCACTGGGGCTTCGCTCTTCTCGTCGCTGAACACCCAAACGTGTTCGGGCAGTCTTCCTCTATTAAGGGCGTTTCGGAAGTGCACGGCACATACGCCTTTCTGCGGCGGCGAAATCTCTATGATTTTGTGCTCCACGTGGAATTCCTAGTGAGCAGCACCTGCAAATTTCTCCTGCAAAGCACATCAACTCAAGCACTAACTGCTAACTCCAGCCCATGGGAAGCGGCGGCGTTGGCATAGGCTTCCGAATGAAGGATCGGGACAACGGCTATCTCTTGCTGATGCACCAAAAGGCGGGGAAGAAGAAACTCCTGAGATTGGATAAAGGAATCCCAAAGATAGTCGCAGAACGCAAAGACGGAGGCTTTGTGCAGGGCATATGGCACAAAGTACGAATTCAGGCAACTGGCGGCCATATAAAGGTTTGCGTGGGGGATGAAGACGCGGAGCCCGCCGAGATATTCTCGTAAGGAATTGCTCCGAGTTTCATACTTCAAACTTATTCTTATGAAATGTGTTTTGCGCCGACGGCAAACATCGCCGGGTCACCCAGAGCACTGGACGAACGGTTTGTGTCCGGCACTGTCGCCTTCTTCTCCTCAGCAATGCAAGATGGAGTATATTTCGACAAACTGAACGTTGAGGCTCAACCTTGCCAAACGCCGCAGGTTTCACCGCCACCGCTTCCACCCCTTTGCTCAGTGTTCGTGGAAAGCTACTTCAGCAGCGTCAGCGCGCTGTACGCCATAGTAGACGGGGCCGACAAGGGCGGCTCCGTGGGCCACTGGGAGTACCGGGTAAGCACGTCGAGCCGCAGCTGCAGCTGCAAGCGACAGAGACCAACATTTCACACGCAGGACGGAGTCCGGGGAAGGAATAAAGTGTTGGTGCAGCTGAACGCGGTGCGCGGGCCTGCAGACATCGGCACCATCGCTGTGCTGAAGGGCCAGCGAACATGTAAGCATTTTTCTTTTCACTTAACTTTAAAGAAGGCAACTATTAGCCCGATTTATTTAGGCAGAAACGGCCGACTTTCTGTCGACTTCTTCCCGCAATGCACCAAAGGGACCATTGGTGCAGTTTTCCGATTTTCTTCGGAGGCGAACTACATGGCAGTGGAGGCAACGGCCACAGAGTGCGTTAATAAATCCATTAAATGCATTAATTGCTTTATTTTAAGATTTGATCAATATAAATTTACGATGCTGTGCGTGAAAGCGCCTACTTCTGTTCACTCCCACTGCCCTGGCAAGCCCACCCCCTTCCCCCGTAGACTCAGGCTGCGAGTTGTCGTGGACAAAAAGGCCGCAGTCCTCGCCAGGTCGCCCCTGAAGCTGCAGCTCAACGGCTGGCACTCCCTTCAAGTTGCATTTGATGGGCCCCGAGTAGTGGCTCGCGTAGAGACCCCAGCTGGGGAAACTGTGAAGCTGCTGGGGGAGGCCTCAGCCCAGCAGGGGTTTCCCAGCGATGGGGCCATCGGCCTATCTGCGTACAACTGCGGAGGCGTTGCGTTTGATGAGTTTGAGCTGTCGCCGTTTGTTGAGCCTGAGTCCGAAGCGGACTCGAGATTCGCGGGCGTCACCTCTAGAGTGGCTGCCACTGAGAAAGCTTGGTATGTTCTGTTCGCTGCGTCGTTCCTGACTTCTATTCTTGCATGCAACGCATGCATGTTGCAACTCAATCGCTACGTAGGTCGCCGTGCGTCGAGAATGTGCACATTCTGGCGCGGCGGGAACATTGTGCAGAAATGCTGCGTAACAAGGAGCGGGAAAGACAGATCTTGTGCCCCATGGAGTACTGCCACGAGTGCTGCTCCTTCCAGACAAGCCTTCTTAGCCCTAACCACAAGACCCGCTGTGAAAAGAGCTGCATGCGGAACAACGAGGAGGCTCATAACACCGAGGCGCTGCTGCAGGCAGCCGTGGTGCGCTGCGCCAAGGGAGGCGACAAGAGATCTGCTCTGTGTTCGCAAGTACGCCATTTGCATGAAAAATGCTAATAAAAAAGATTAATTTAGGACTTTCAGGATGATGATGAGTGCTTGTTTCAAGCATGCAACCTCTGCTGTGAAGGCGCCGCAGCAGGAGACGGTGCCTGGTCGCGTCAAGAGGTGTCCGAGTGCCAGAGCCACTGCCGCCCCCCCAGCCCTTCTTCGGTCTCTTTGAAATCTGAAAGCGAATTATAAAACAAAAATGCGAAATTAAACTACTGCAAACTCCAGACAAGACCAACGCAGCCGCATGCACGCCTCCTGGAAGCCGAGTCGGCTACCAAGGCCTTCCCCACCACGTCGACTCAGGAGAGCACTGTTCACGTCTACCCATGAGAGGCCTTTGCAGTTTGAAATACCGGGATGGAGAATCCGTGCCTTGCTGTTTCTTGTTGAGCTACACCGTAGTTGTGGCGTTAGCGGCGTCCAGCAGGGCGGCGGTTGCTCGCCCTTGAATGCTGCAGCAGCCAGAAGAGGGGCTCCCGCTGCGGTGTTATGCTGAAATTACCTCCTCAGAGCCTTCCAGCCTTTCCCCTCGCCACTGCGTGTGAGCCGCTGCCACACAGATGGGTGCCTGAGTGCCCCTGCTGACCCCCGGCCTTGGCTCTGCTGTTGCATGCAACGACTGAAGGCCTCAGAACGCGCTGCTGTGCCACTCCTTTTGCCACCATTCGCAGCTGGCGCTTCCATGGCCGCTTAGGGCTTCCATCCTGAGGCGTCCTAGCTGTCCGTACACTCCGTGGGCACCTGCGGCGGCCCCGGCTTCTCGAGGGAATTCCAAAAAACAGCCTTTTGAAGATGAGGGCAAACAACGACACTCCCAGCTGGCGGGCTCTGCCCAGCAAGGAGCAGTCGGTCTTCAAGCACATGATGGTGGGCGATCTGTTCCCCCGCCATCTATCCCAGCAGAGGCAACTGTTGTTGCAACTGCAGCAGCAGCAGCAGCAGCAGCAGCCGCAAAGCAGCAGCAGAGCAGCAGCAAAGGCAGCCCATGCGCTCCCTAATTGTCCAGTGTGGGCGTCTGCGAGCCGCTGTGTGTGGCGCTGATGGCCTGGCTTTGCTGCTGTCGCTGTGCTGTTTGGCTGCAGTGGCTGTATGAACAGAAGCACAACAAGAAAGCCATAAAGCAAGCAGACTTGATCCTCAAGAAGTTTCCCGAGCACGGTGAAACGCTATCTATGAAGGGCCTGATCTTGTCGAACATGGGCGCGGAGAAAAAGCAAGAGGCTTATGACTATGCCAAAAGAGGCCTCAAAGCGGACATTACCAACTGCGTTTGCTGGCACGTGTTGGGTCTGCTGTACAGACAGGACAAGTACGCGGAAGCTGGTGGCTTGCAGCTGCACTGCACTTAAAAAAGACACAAATGAAGAAGTGTGCAAATTAACACAAGTTAGGGAAATAGTTAGTAATGGCCAGCTGCCCAGTGCCCCTGCGACTCCTGCTGCACCTGGGACGGCCCAGCTGCCACACTGAGGAACACCCAAACCTGTCACTTCGAATACTTTGAGACTCGTGGCTGCGTCGCAAAGATGCGTATGTGGGTACAAACGGGAATTGTTGGGTGGAGCTGTCAGTGCTGCTGTGATTGTCCGGTCAGATTATGCATTTTTAGCTAATACTATGGCTTGGATATTATCTGTTTGTACAGTTGCGCATTCTTGATGTATCAGATACTGTTGCTAATGCGGATCCTGTTAAATCCCGCGAAACAAAGCCAGCTCGTGGCATGGTGCCTCTGCGGCTGCCGCAGCGCCGCTGGAGTTTCAGTGAACAGTGCAGCCTCTCTGAATGTGGCAGCTGATGATTTGACAGAAGGGTGATTAATTTAATTTGAAGAGTATTTTGTGCTTCATAATTTGGCCGTCAGGGACTACGCAGAAGCTTCGAAGTGCTTCATCCAAACCCTTCGGCTGGACCCGAACAACTATCCCGCGATGCGCGATTTGGCCAACTTGCAAATTCACGAAAGAAATCTGGACGGCTTTCTTGAGACCCGCAGGCACATATTGAAGGCCAGATCCAGATTTATAAGGGAGTGGGCAGCTTTCGCCATGGCTAACCACCTGGTAATCTCCGTTCACTTGCAACTTCACTCTGATCCAGTTCGGTTGAATTCATTGAAACATTGATTGTGCCTTATTCCAAGTAACAGAATGCCTTAGATGAGTGTAAAAAATGAGCTTGTCAATTGCCAAGCATAAAAATTTAAACTTCTCATCTACTCTGGAATAGTTTATCTGGGGTTTGGCCTAAATCATAAGTTGAGAAATGGTGGGGTTCCATAAAAAAGCGATATGCGCTGAAGGCTTTTGGCCAGGTCGCTTCATGGGAAGGCATTTGACGAATAAGGCAACAGAAGAACGATGAAAAAGCTGTAATTGCGTCAGTTCAATGAGCCAATAAGCCTAAATTGTATGCCTTTTCGTGCGTAGGTGGGTCGCTTGACTATAGCCCAGGAGATACTGGGTGAGATGGAGAACCAGTTTGGAGAGTCACGCGATTTAGATGCTTTTGAGAAGAGTGAAATAATGCTGTACAAAGCCGCCATACTTGAGGAGATGGGGGAGTACAAGCAGTGCTACGATTATCTCACCACGAGGGAACAGTAATATCTCACGCTGAGAATGCTTCTGCTGAGGCTCCCGCTGATGCTGCTTCTGCTTTTTCTGCCTCTTGTGCTGCTGCTGATGCCAGTTCTGCTGATGCTGTTGTCGCTACCAGTATTGTTGCTGCGACTGTTGGTGTTGATGTTGATGCCGCTACTGTGGCTGCTGCTTGCGTTTCTTCTGTGGACTGTTTAGCCTATACTGTTGCTGCATCTTCTGATGCTGTCGCAACTCTTTTTACTGCTGCTCCTGCTGCTGCTTCTGTTGCAGACACTCTGTGTGCGTGTAGTCTCCGTTGCTGCGCAGAGCCATACTGGACGAGACGGCGCTACTAGAGGCTCAGGGCCGAATGGCGATTTTCCTGCGGCAATTCGATTTGGGCCGGGTGGCTTACAGACGCTTAATGGAAATAAACAAAGACAACGAGCGTTATGTGTTGGGCTTTATGGCTTGCGATGAAAATGAAGATATCAGACATCTTTTTGCCCTGCCCAAGTGCTGCCTCAGTGGGGCGGTGGGCAAGGCCGACTCCCTCGACTACTTGAAACTGTAGGTTGCTACTGCTGCTACTTGTTCGATTTTGTCTTACGTTTTTATTTCGCTCAAGCTAGCTGAAAGCACTTAATCTTGAACCTTGGTAAATGTGTTCAAATCTCTACGGCCCTCTCAAATGTGGTGACCTCGGCCAGTGTGCCTGCTGTTGTTGATGCTGTTCCATCGAAGTTGCACGCGAGAGCTTGTGTGCGTGTTTGTGTCTCCTGCTGCTGCAGCAAGCAGCTGCAGGACGGACGCATCTTTGCTCCCGTTTCAAGTGCTCCTCCCTACATCTACTTGATGCCCGGGGCGCTGCGGTCGTCTGGTGAAGACAGCGGCGGATGGCTCGAGTCTGCGTTTACCCGGCAAGCAGCAAGAGAGGCGCAGGTGCAGCAGCAGGAGTTGCAGCTTCTCAAGGGCTGGAAGAGCAGTGGACATACAGAGGCAGCTCCCCCTTCCTTCAGGATGGTCAGGGGGCTCAGTGCTGAAATGCAGGATCGCATTCTGAACTACTTTGACGGTGGGCAGTGGAAGCACCTATTATTTTAGCGTTTTATTCAAATAAAACTAGGAAACATGATTGATGCAAAAACCAATAAGATCGAAGACGATGCTATTGCAGTTCAAGTGCAGCTTTAGCTTATGGAATGCGTCACGGGTGCGCCTTCATTGTTGTCTTTCAGCTTTGCTTGACTTGAAATCCTTTTCCCAAAATGTGATGTAGTCTTATTATTTGTGGGTTCTTTCTTATGTGGTTTGTCTGCGAAGATTTGAAGGTACAGTTGTCGCCTTTTCCCCTGCTGGACTACCTGAAGTTGTCTTTCTTGTCTGGGGGCCGCTTCGTTGCTGCGCTGGATGACTTCTTGCGGCCGCAGCTGCGCAAGGGCGTTGTTTCTCTTTTTGCTGCCTTGCGGCGTCTATACACCCGAGAGCGGGCTCACTTGATCGGCACCGTGCTAGAGAGCTATGTTGAGCACCTGCAGAGAAGCCCCTCTTCATTTGGGCCTTTACTGGGGGAAAGGCATGAAAAGAGGCAGGACGAACCGCATAGCAGCAGCACAAGTGACTCCAGCGATGCTTTTTGTGGAGACTCCAAGAATTCCGAGGGTCTAAATCAAAATAATTCCCTTAATCGCTCCCAGGAGTCTCGAGAGAAACCCGAAATTGCTACTGCTCTTCTCTACGCCTATATGCTGATGGCGCAGCACTATGACTTTATGGAGAACACTGAGAAGGCTCTTCAGACCATACAAAAAGTGCGGCAGCAGCGAAGTAGCAGTGATAGCTGCGAAGGCAGAAAAACAATAAGCAGTCAGACACGGGAAACGATAGCGGCGCCCCGCCAATGAGCGGGTCAGAACGGCCTTAGCAGCCACGCTGCTGCGTTTGGCTGCGGGCAGTCAAGCACAGCAGCCAAAACACCTCCACTCTGCCTGTTGTTTGTTCTGTGGCTCACCAGGCCATTGACCACACTCCAACCTTTGCAGATCTCTATCTCGTGAAAGGCAGAATCTACAAGCACGCAGGCGCCTACCGGCTTGCTGCGGAACTGCATGAGAAAGCGCGCAGCCTTGACTTCGCAGATCGGTAAGTCCTCAGTGTGCTTTCTGCTGCTGTAGTAGACTGTGTGGAAAGGCAACAGTGGCGGCCGCCAGAGCCAGCACAGCTGCAGCAAGCAGCATGAGCCCGTTGGCGCCTAACTGTTGGCTTCTTCGGTCCGGATTGGCCTTTCTGCGGGAGTTCCGCTGCACTGGCTCTCAAACTCTTCTCTTACGCTGCTGCTCTGCTTACCATATCTGGGCGGCGGCCCTTTGGCTCTCCTCTGAGCTTTCACTTCAGGCTTTCTTGTTTTCTTGTTGTGCTCCT